AAAAATTTAACTTAAGGTAAATCATATACATGTAATATTAAAATGCATATATACTTCAAATTATCATTCAAATGAAGATTATTAGTCATCTGAGTGTGTTGAAAACAACACATTCGGATGACAGATGAATATTTAATATTTATGAAGAAACATGAACTGACTTGAGGTGGTGTTTGTAGGCTGTATGCTCGCTTTGTGACTTCCACCTAAATACTAAGAAAGTAACTGACCATTGAGCGTCTCCATTAGTTACAGTTGCTATGCTTGTCAACATTTGATTCATGGACTATTTATATGTACTATTTATATGGTGCTTTTAAACGCAGATATTCGACTTTCATGAAAAAGAAACTAGCCCATTTTGAAAGTGATGGCAGAAACACTTTGTAAAAATGTTGGGACAGGAGCAAAAATAAATCCTGGAAAAGTAAGTGGAAAATGAAACAGTAGGAGAAGCGTTTTGCAAATAATAGATTAACTGGCAGCAAGTCAGTAACATGTTCGGGTATAAAAACATAAGCTTAGAGAGGCAGTGCTTCAGAGTAGTTCACCAATCTACAAAAAAGTAACTCTACAAAGTGCGGACAGTTTTCCTCATCTGAAAATTGCCAAGACTTTAAATACCTCATCATGTATAGTGCAAAATATAAATATCAAAAGATTCAGAGAATCTGGAGAAATCTCTCTGCAGAAGGGAGAAGGCTGAAAATCAATACTGGATGCCTGTGAGCATCGTGCCCTCAGGCGGCACCGCATTAAAGAACAGGCATGAATGTGGCATAGAAATAACTGCATGAGCTCAGGAACATTTTCACAAATCATTTTCTGGTAACACAGGTCAGTGTGCCGTCCATAAATGCAAATCTCCTTCATTCAAATAGAAACCATATGTGATTTAAAAAAGCTACCATCTTCTCATCTAAAATGGTCTGAGGCAAAGTGGAAAACTGTTCTGTGGACAATGAATTGAAACTCTATATATAATTTGAAAAACACTGACCCTGTAACCTCTAAAGAGCAGAGAGACCATTCGCCTTGCTATCAGGACTTAAGTTCCAAAGCCTACAGCTCTGATGGATACCAATTGGTATCCAGTGATGTATTAGTGCCTATGGAATTGGCAGCTTGCACATCTGGAAAGGCACCAACAATGGTGAAAGATATACACAGGTCAGATAAATATCCAGTCCCATTCAGATGTCTTTTTTAGGGAAGGTCTTGCATATTTCAGCAAAAAGGCACAATACATCTATTACAACAGCATGGCTTCACAGTAGAAGAGTCTGGGTGCTGAATTGGCCTGCCTGCAGTCCAGACCTTCTAGGAACTGAAAAGATTTGGAGTATCATAAAATGAAAAATGCGGCAAAGAAGACCCTGGACTGCTGAGCAGCAAAAGTCCGACATCAGACAAGACTGAGATAACATTACTCTCCCCAAATTCCAATAACTGTTGTTCTCAGTTCGCAGAATTGACAGGGAAGTAAATAAAAGTTTTTTGAAACATACTGCTGCCATCAAATTCAAAATGAGTTAATATTTTTCTTAATTGTGATTTTTTTTCCCTCTTTAAACATTTGATATGTTTCTATGTTATGTTTAGAATAAGTCACTTCGCCAGTTTAAGAATGAAATGACATAGGACCTTTAAACTGATACCACAGGTGTATCTATTAAAAATCTCGGACGAGTTTGAATCTCACCTTAATGTCACAGTATCAGAGGTGAGAGTAAGTTTTCTGAAACTCTTGTGAAAGCGATAAGGTGACAAAAGATGTTGAAATTGTTACCACAGGTGTGTCTACTGGTGCTCTAAGCCACCTGTAACCACATATTAAAACAGTACCTTATTCTATGCAAGTAAGCAGTATATTTTAGAATGTTTTCTGCCAGCAATGAATGACTTAATATCCGTCATCATAACTGTTTATTTCACTTGCTGACACCACCCTTCAACTTCTTTTTAAGCCAAAGCACACTCTCTGAGAAAGACCTACTGTGTACTTACAGGCCTTCCAAGAAAGTAAGGCCTGTAAGTTTAATTTTATTGAGTTACATCGCACCACACACCACAACCCCACACACACCTGAGTCCCCGTGTTTTAACCTGGCTGGCGTGATTGCGGATGCCGTGCAGGTGCGTGCACGCCCCGCAGACCACGCCCCACCACACATCCCCATCGCCCGATTGAGGCCGGGGAGTCATCCGGCCGAACCTACTCCCCCACCCCACCGGTTCCCAACCTGGGAACAGAGCAAAGTCCCTTGCGGAGGCCGCCCACACCTCAAATGGCGGCGAG